CCCCCCCCCCCCCCCCCCTCTCGCAAAGGGCCCCTGTTACTCAGTTCCACTATTACCCCCCTGTCCGACGCTCCTGTTGGGACAACACTGTCAGGCAAAGTAATGAGATATATTTACAGCACTATCAGAGGCTATTTTGCATGAAACAGATTATAACTAGCTAGTTTTGCTATGGCCGCCCTGTAATAGCATTATATTTCATATGGCATCATGTCTAACTATCTGCCTTAGTTCACTTTTTAATATTTCTGTTGTAGAAGTCATGAAGACTGCCTTTTTTTAACAATCAAAATCATACCAAAGGTTTCGTGTTGGACTAAGAGATAAAGAAAATAAGAAGTAGGTTTTGACAAGCCTCTTCATCATAAAGGAATGATGGACAAAAAGGAGGTCAAAGATGTGTTCTATTTTTACAATACTATTATCTGTTTCTCTGAAATTCCCTCTCTCTGATGTACAAACTACTTTAGTACTCTTAAAGACATCACACTGGGTATTCATATTTATATCATGGAGGGAGTCTTCATTGTTTTTACTGATTTAAACTGAAGTTTAGTGATATATTTAGAAAGAATAGCATGGACCAGTTTGAATGACCTAATATATTTCACATGTATTTTCATCAAAGCACATTTTACAGTATGCACAGTGCTTAAAGTTAAACAACTCAAGGCATATAATTTTCCATAAACCATATGTATTATAGTTTTTTTCCCCTCAATCGCTTTGGCTCATCATTAGCTTTTTCATTTTTGACTAAACTGTAAGTGCAGTTGTCACAGCTGTTTGCTGGAACATCACCACTTAATTGCATTTCTGCAAAACATAGTAGCTCATCCAAAACAGTTAATTCATGCTTCAAAACCTAGTTATTATTATAGTTATTATTGTGTCAGTTATTGTGGCCAATGCCACCAAAATGAAAATGTATTTTGTCATTGTGTGAGCCGTGCTGGTCAAAATGTATTTTTCAGCATATGTTTCAAATTTCATAAACAAATTTGTTGACAATGTGATAGCGTACTATACAAGAATGTCAGTTTTGTCTAGATCAGGAGTGTCAAACTCAATTCCTAGAGGGCCACAGCCCTGCAGAGTTGAACTTCAACCCTAATTAAACACACCTAATGCAGCTAATCGGGTCCTTTAGACTTATTTGAAAACTATGGTATGTGTGTTGGAGCAGGGTTGAAACTAAACTCTGCAGGGCTGCGGTCCTCCAGGAACTGAGTTTGACACCCCTAGTCTAGATGAATGCTTGTGTATGACTCTGAGCTTTTTAAATACAGATTTCAACAATAGGTAAAAATTACTGTGCAAAAATCAATACTGTAGTACACAGAAAAATTATATGAACATTTGTACTCATACCGTACATTTATGGTTACTGAAATTCAATTGCTTTTTCATTTTTAACAGATTTCTTACATGTAAAGTCTTAGACTGAACACAAAATAATCTGGCAAATGTGGCCTAACTAAACCTCTTTCGTGTTCTGATATTAGGTCTCTATAAAGGATCTTTAGGAAGGCCAGGAGAAGTTGGGTTTCAGACATATGTGGTATAGGTGCTCGTATCATTCTCAGAAATGGCAGCACACATTGTAATATTGCCCCCACGTTGGCCCATGTCTCATGCCTTTGGCTAGATTGAACCTAGCCTCATCCACAAAAACAGAAATGTTGGTTATTTCGTATCCTTCCATCTCTATGATTTATATAGTAACACAGAAACAACATATAAGTTAGTTTTACATAGATTATTCTAGAAGTTTAGTAAATGTTTTTGTTATTATGGATATCTACAACTTCAAGAAGTATGCACAGGCATCTTTGAAATACAGCAAAGCTTGCTGTACTATATTCCAAGTGCACACCAATGGTTTACCTAAACATACTATTACCACAGCTCCTTCACTCTACTATTCCTCTCTAATGGCACCTTGTAGAGTTGTTTCATAGTCATCTGATTGTTTTTTTTTTCTATAGAGGAAATTCTGACAATTGATATTTGCAAAGATATTGTCATATCTTCTTATTGCTCTTCCACATACATGTAGCTGTTGTTAATGGTTGTGACATCTCTCCATGTTCAAAAATGGGCAAATCGACTCATTAGTTGTGATCAATGAGCCATGTGCA